ACAAGTTCCCAATGAGAAATGTAAATGTGTTGTATACCTAAAATGTACCAATAAAAGAATTTAAGTAATTAAAAAAAAAGAATAGTGTGGTCATCACCTACTAATCTAGCCTTATCTTATACCATGACTCACACCCCACTCACACCCAGTCTCTGCTTCCAGCCATACCAACCCAGAGAGCTTTTCATTTCCTTGGACAGACCTTTTCCCCACCATATAGCCTTTTCTCATGTTGTCACTGTGCCTTATTTAGTTCATTTCAATTTAAACATCACCCTCTCACAAAGCTTTCCTTGACTTCCACTTGACCTCTACACTCCGTTTCCCTTTTCTCTGCCCTCAGTCGTCATTTTCCTGTAAAGCACTTTTTATAGTTCATAATTTTACATTTAAATTTTGTGACTTTTCATTACTATCAATATTAACAAAATAGTCACTCTGGACTTTTAACTCCCTAAGGACAGGAATATACTTTTTGATTTCCATCTGCAAAAAGCAGTACAATACCTAACACATTATAGACTCTCAATAAGTATTTATTGAATAAATTAAAAAATTAATTATGTGAGGTGAGCATCCATAGAGAAGTATTGGCAACACTAAGGAAGAGAACATCTGAATAGAAGGGAGTACTTTGTAGAGGCCCTAACTTTAATATGAAACTTTAAAAAAATAACAAATAAAATCAATGAATGATTCAAAAAGAGTTACAATTCAATTTTGACATAGAGTAGGCATCAAAATATGAATGAGAGAACAAGAGAAGAATGAGAGGTTGAGTTCAAGACTGTGGACACAGTAATTGTAATTTAATTTTCATAGAAACCAATAATATATTTCCAAGGTGTTTGTGGTATAAATATCAGATGTCTCACAGAGATAAAGTAAGATGAGAACTGAGAAAATATCATTGGACTTATAGTCTAGATAAATTAGTGAAAATAAAAATAAGCAGTTGAAGAAAAAATTGGAGGCAAAAACCTGAAGTAGTGATTATAAACTATTCTTTTGAGATAGGCAAGGGCTGAAATTAAAGTAGAGTAGATGAAAGATAAAAGGATCCAGAGTCCAGGGAAAGACTTTCTAAAAGATGTGACTCGAGTATTTAAATTACGGAGAAGGATGGTGATAAAAAGGATTGAAACACATACACACACACAAAAAAAAAAAAAGAAGAAAGAATGGTAAATGTTAGACTGATACTAGAAAAAGTGCAAGTGGACAAAATCAAGTGAAAGGAGAAGAACTGGACTTAGAATTTAAGAAGGGTATTTCATCTTTAGAGTGAATTAAGAAAAGAACAAATGGGCAGAGATTCAAAGATATTTCTAAACAAAAAGGAAGAATGTAGAAAGTTAAATGGCCTCAATTTCAGTAAAAGTAGGAAGCAACCTTATCTGCTGAAAATGCTGATAATTATGGATTTAAATGAGGAATGAAAAAAGATTATTTGAAGATATTTAAGGACATTTGAAATAGTTTGAATAAATTATTTTTATGCAATTTTAAGAAGTATGGAAGTTATGACTACCCCATTTTGAAGTCCTTTGGTGAAAGGAAAAACACATCAGGCACTGTGGTAGGCTGAATATGATGTCAAAGATATCCAGGTCCTAATCTCTGGAACCCATGAATGTTATGTTATCTTGCAAAAGAGACCCTTCAGATGAGATTAAGGATTTTGAAATAGGGAGATTGTCCTGGATTATGTCAATGGGTCCTAAATGTATTCACAAATATGCATGTGCAAGGCCCTGTGTTCAACTCCCAGCACACCCTCCTCCAGCACAAAAAAGGATTCTTGCCTGGAGCCTCCAGAAGGAAACAGCCCCTTTAGCCCTGTAAGAATCTTTGTGGATTTCTGGCCCTCAGCACTGTAAAAATAAATGTCTTTTGTTTTAACCCACTAAAATTGTGTTAATTTATTAACACGACAATAGGAAACTAGTAAAGAGAGTAAACATGTAAATTCATGATAATAAAATGTTTGTTTCTGAAGTAATTACTTAAACAGTGTAAAAGTTGGATATATTTTAAAAATAATTTCTCAAATTTCTCCATTCTTCAGATATTTTAATAATTCTGTGCTTTTCCCTAAATATTCATTTTGCTTTCTCTGATTGTTCTGAAGATACTCATCTGTGAAATTCCCACATAGTTTGAAGTCGTAAAGAAAGCAGCCTTAACATTCTTTGTTTGCCTTTGCCCCAGTAAAACTTCTTCAGTTCCTAATTTAAACAGAGGCTATACATTTTCATCCAGCTTTACAGCAAAGCAGACTTGGACCATGTGTTTTTGGTCCACCATAGCTTAGAGGATATTAGCTAAAAGAATGTCACCGCAACTACTTCGCTGTGTTCACATAAGCTCAGCTTATACTTTGCTATTGTTTCAATATGGTTTGTGTGTAACTCACGGGTTCATGTGTTAAAATTTAATCACCATAGTGAGGTTTTTAAAAAGTGGAAACTTATTCCAACTATGGCGTTTAGAGGGGGAACATTTACGAGACAATTAGAATTAGATGACGTCATTAGGGTGGAGGCCCCGTGATTGAATCCTGGTGGCTTTACAAGAAAAGGGAGAGACCAGAGGAGCCATACACAAGTGCACTCCCTGTGTCTTGCTGCCACAGGATACCCTGCTCCACTTCAGGATTGTCAAACAGAAGGCCACCACTTAATGTGGCCCCTAGGCCTTGCTCCTTCAGGACTGTGAGTGAAAATAAACCTCTTTTTTATATTTACCCCACATCAGGTATCTCGTTATAGTAACAAAATGTGGATAGTATATATCTCTAGAGGTAACAAGAAAATATGAACTTCCAGCAACTCTGAACACAGTTGAATATTAATATGGACTTACACAAATTAAATTTCTAGCCCTTTTCTTTTTTTTGTTTGTTTTTTTGCTTTTGGTACCGGGGATCAGACCTTGTGCTTGAGAGGCAGGCGCCAGAACCACTGAGCTAAATCCCCAGTCCTGCCCTTTACTCTTTTTTTGTAACAGAGTATATCCTTCCTAAATTTTCAAGCTTAAATTTTCTGTCCAGCCAGGGGAATAGCAGACCAGGTATAGTTCCTTCCTGCAGCCTACTCTCTCCAGTTAGCTGCCTCATTCTTATAACTAAGTTACTTAGCAACTATGTCCTGAATCTCTCAGACCTGAGAAGAAGCTTCCGGGCCAGCCACCTAGTTTTGCCTGTGTTACAGTGAAGAGGATCTGCTTAGGAGATGAAGCTCTTGAACTGGTTGATAGAGATACTGATAATTCTTGGGGTCACAATTAAAAGTAAGTTTTTCAATATTTACATTCTCTATAAGGGTCTTTTTGCTCTAACAGCACTAAAGGCCTTAAGCCAATTAGAAAATCAACAGTAACTTGACTATACTCCCAATTAACACCATTTTTGTACAAGTACTCATTTAGGGTAACACTTGATTACGGTGATTGGTGTGTATATGGGAGAGACAGACAGACAAAAAATCTATCAGGAAAGCATTACAGTAACTTTTATAAAGTAGAACTATTAGGAAGAGGTTGTTGAGCATTGTAAAAGGAAAAAAGGACTTTAAAGGAAAGGAAAGGAAAAAAAGGACTTTAAAGGAAATGTGTAAGACATAAAGCATGAAAAAGTACCATAATCATTATTTTTTTTTGAGACACAATCTCACTAAATTGCCCAGGCTGGCCTCTAACTTGGAATTCTCTCCTACCTTAGACTCCCTAGTAGCTGGGATTACAGGTAGGTATCACTCTGCCTGGCAGAATTTATATTGTTTTTAAAACTTTGTACAATAACAACTCTACTTCCAAAGTTTTAATATTTCCTAAGTAGTTATTGCCTGAAAAAAGGAAATCGTTTTCCAGTCTGTTTCCCTGTTCACTTCTTCAGTTAATTTTACACAATCCTCACAAAATTTAATTACCAATATAAAAATTTAGTTACCAATACATATTCAATTTAAAGAATATTTATTTGGACTCAGTCAAGGAATGCAAAGTTTGCTTACCACCTGAAAATTAATGTAACATGCTATATCAATAGAATAAAAGACAAGATCATATGATTATCTAAATCAATGCCAAAAATTTGACAAAATAATAAGAATCTCACATCCTCAGAAAAACTCACAACTATGTTTATTTAATGATGGAAAAAATGCATTTCTCTTAAAATCAGGAATAAGATAAATATACTCACTTTTGCCATTGTACTAGAATTCCAGCCATGGAGATTAGCAAAAACAACAACAACAACAACAAAATAAAAGACATCAAGATTGGAAAGGAAGAAGTAAAATCATTGCTATTCACAGATGACATGGCTTTTTATACAATCTTAAAACACTCATTACAAAACTATTAGAACTACTAAACAAGCCAGGTATAATGGTGTGCTCCTGTAAACCCAGCACTCTGGCTGAGGCAGGAGGATCACAAGTTTGCACCTAGTCTGGGAAATTTAGAGACTTAGAAAGACTCTGTCTCAAAATAAAAAAATTTAAAAAGATCTAAGGCTGTAGGTCAGTGCCAAGTCCCAATATAAATAAATAAATTTGGCAAGGTTGCCTGATAAAAGATCAATGTACAAAAATTAATTTTATTTCTATAGAGTAGGCAATAAGCCAACCCAAAATTGAATTTTTAAAAATCTCATTTATAGTAATACTGAAGAGAATAAAGTAAAAGTTGGAAGACTTAAACTTCCCAATTTTAAAACTTACCATAAAGCTACAGTAATCAAGAAAATGTGAGCTGGACATAGTGGTACCTGCCTGTAACCCCAGCTACTCAGGAGGCTGAGGCAAGTGAGGCAGGAAAATTACAAGTTCAAGGGCAGCCTGGGCAACTTGGCAAGATTTGTCTGAAAAAATTTTCATTAAAGAAAAAAAGCCAGAGATATAGCTCAGTGCAAGGTCTTCAGTTCAATCCCCACTATTGCCCCCCCCACACACACACACAAAGTGTACTATTGGCATGAGGATAGACATACAGATCACAAACCCTCACATTTATTTACTTCAATAAGCATGCCAAGAGAACTCAATGTTGTGTTGTAGGGGTGGGGGGGTGAACACTATATTCAATAAATGGAGCTAAGACATCTGGATTGTCACATGGAAAAGAATTTTTGAACAGCTACCTCATACACCATATACACAAATTGATTCAAATTGAATCAAAGACCTAAAGATAAGCTTAAGCCTTTGAAATTTTTTAAATATATGAAAATAAATCTTGACCTTGGATTAGGCAATGATTTCTTAGATATGCCACCAAAAGCACAAGCAAAAATTTAAAAAAACAGATAAACTGAAAATCAAAATAAAAAACTTTTGTGCTTCAAAATATATCACAACAAAAAATGGGGGGACAAATTTTGTAACTCATATATCCAGCAAGCATTTAGTATTCAGAATATTTAAAGAAGTCTTAGAAGTCATCGACAAAATGACAACTCAATTTGAGGATGGCCAAAGAAATTGAATGGACATTTCTCCAAAGAAGATGTATAAATAGCTGAGCACATGAAAGATAATTCAACATCATTGGACTTTAAGGAGATAAAAACCAAAACCAGGATGATAAATTACATCATGTTCATAAGAATGTCTATAATCAACAAATGAAACACTTTGCCTCACTGCACTCCTGAAAGGAAGATGGGTCGCCAACAGGACTACTGGAACCAGCTGTGAAAATTCAGCCAGAGTTCACACTCTTGCCACATCTGCTCAGACCTGCATGGTCTGATTCAGAAATATGACCTCAACACATGCCACCAGCGTTTCATCAGTACAGGAAGACTGTAAGCCTCATTAGATAGCAAAAAGTGACCTTCTATGAAAGAATTACCCAAAACACCCACCCAATTAACAAAATCATGAGAGCTCTTTGTACATAAAAGTTTTAAAAAGCCTTTAAAACAAAACAAAAGAAATGATATGTGGGTAGCTCAGTGGTAGAGCACCTGCCTAGCATGCATGTCGCCCTGGGTTCCATCTCTAGCACTCCCCTAAAAACAAAAAAAGGAGAGAAGGAGAGAGAAGTGGTTTCTTTCAGCAAAGATGTGGAGAAATAAAAACCGTCATACAATGCCAGTGGGAATATAAAATAGTAGAGTCATTGCGGAAATAGTATGATGTGTTAAGTCCACTACTAAGTATGTGCCCAAGAGAAATGAGAATATATGTCCACAGAGAACTGTGCACATGAATATTTACTAGGAGCATTATTCATTATAGTAAAAAGGTAAAAAAACTCAAATACTGATAATGGATAAATAGATAAGCAAAATGTGGTATACACATATAACAGAAAGTTATTCAGCCATAAAAAGAAATGATATACTGATACATACAAAACGTTGTGTTATGTAAAAGAAGCTGACTATTGTATGATTCCTATTATATTGAATAGCCAAAATAGGCAGATCCAGAGAGATGGAAAGCAGTTTAACAGCTGTCAATAGATGGGGGAGGAAAGAGTGGGGAGTGACTACTTAAGGGGTACAGGGTGTACTGCTAGGCTGATTGAGAAGTTTTGAAACTGGAGAGAGGTGGTGGTTGCACCACATTTTGAATGTTCTAAATGTAACTAAATTGTACACTTTAAGATGGGTAATTTTATGTTTCATGAATTTCACCTCCTCGAGTTTTAAAAAATGGCACAACACTGAAAAAGTTAGGGAGTTCTTTGGAATGTTATAGTTACCATATGATCCAGCAGTTCTACTCTAGGACACATCCCAGATAACTGCAAACATAAATTTACACAAAACTTGTATACAAATGGCAGCATTATTCATAATGGCCCAAAAGCAGAAATAACCAAAACATCCTTCCACTGGTAAATGGATAGTGTTCTATCCAAACAATGGAATATTATTTAACAAAAGAAAATAAAGCACAATATGGATGAACCTTGAAAACTTTACTCAAGAGAATCTAAACACATAAGACCATATATTACACAATTCACATGCAAGAAATGTCCAGAAGAGATTGATTACCTAAGGGCTGGGAGATATGGGGAAATTGGGAAAATTATAGTTAATGAAAATAGGATTTTTGAGAGGTAATAGAAATATTTCAAAACTGATTTTGATACTAATTGCACAAGTTTGTGAATATCCTTAAGGCTACTAAATTATATTTAATACTACTATTATATTTAATATCTTTATGTGCCAGGAGGATTGGAGAGACAAAAATATCTAAGACATAGACCTTACCTTGAACAGCTCAAGGTCTTGAAGGGAAAAACAAAAGTAAACATGTTGTATAGTGTGGTACACATTAAATTAAAAGCATTTGTAGGGTGTAATATAGGGCACAAATATGGGACAAGACAATTCTACTACTGGTATGTGGAATGGTCAGAAGAGATTCATGAAGGAAATTATATAAACTGAACCTTGAAAGACTAGTAAGCAAACAATCAAAGGGAGAACAAGAACGTTTCAGGCCAGATAGAGTACAAAGACACAGAGCAATAAAAGAGCATGGTCTATGAAGTATATCAGTTTAGTGTATAGAGTATAAGAAGGAACGTAGCAACTGATAGGCAGGCAGAGATTCTGTGGTAGGCAGAGATTCTGTAACAAGCTATGAAGTTTGAGCTGTCTCCTGTAACCAACAGGGAGTCATTCAAGGACTTACTCCTAGAAATACATCTTAGAAAAATGACCTTTGCAGTACCTTTGCGGTAGAGGACTGGATGGCTTCTAGCTGATAACTCTAGTGACAGTGTAACCAGCAGGAGGCTAAAGAATGACCCAAACAAGAAACAATGAGGACTCAAGCTACACCAATTGCAGTGAGCACTGATAGGAGGATGTGGATAACAAAGGTGGAGAAAATAGTAACAGAGAAGTCAAGTTGTGACTGCCAAGAGATGGGAATAGCCAGTAATGACAAGAGCCAGAGAGAATGGAGAGATAGGGGTCAACAAGTGACTACTGAATTTAATGTCTCAGAAATCCTTGTTTCTAAAATAGTTTTAGTGGAGAAAATAGAGTCAGTGATGATGATTACAGAGCTCTTCCTGGATTGTGGCACTTTGCAGGGACAGAAGGGGTTTCAGCAGATCATTTATTGATTGCAAATTTATCTGGGGAAGTAGTAGGGTAGAAGGCAGTTGCTTTTCAAGCTAGCGTAAAAAGACCCAAGATTCATACATAAAATCAGCCCTTTGTTCTCACATTTTTCCTCTCCCTTCCCTTCTACCGTCTACCTGACAGATCTGTCATTTTTTCACTCACATACACCTTGCAACCTTTTATATTG